TATCATCCTTAGAGTAAAAAAAAAAAAAAAAAACTATCTTAATCCTTGTTAGGTGAGAACATATAATAAAATTTATATTATTTTTAAATATATTTTTTTAAATGAAATTTACTGACATTTATTACTATTTTATATTTAATTTTTATCAGATAAAATAAAATGATAAGTTTTTAACTTATAAACACTTCATCAATATACTTCTGAGAACTGATAAAACTTAAATGTATAATTTATATTATTTTTTAACTAATATTATTCTTTAAGTTTAAGAGGTTAGAAGTGATGGTGAATATGAAGTTAAAAATGATGGGAAATATGAAATTATAATATTTAAGGCTTATTTCAGAATATTTTATTTAAATATAAAGGTTTCAAAGATGATATTATATAAACAATGTCAAACAATAAAAAAAAAATTCAAAGGCAAACCATTTCCCTGTTCAACTTAAAAAAATTTGAGTGAGAACAAACCAAGTCAAAATGACCACGTACAAGAACTCATAGATTACGTGCAATTCATGTGTTAATTTGGCAACCAATATTGGGATACGTAACCCAAAATTATAAAATAGAAAAGAAAAGAAAACTAAAATAAAAAAATATCTGAGCTTGGACACAGTTTTGCATGGTCAAACACTTAAAGGCTTTGACTTGAAGTTAACAACGAATTGGAGATATCTTGACGTAAGGTTTAAGTACATACTTTTTGACATTCAATAATAAAAGTTATTAAACTAGACAACATTTGAGTTCTATGTTGGAAAGTTAATCAAGGTTAACTTTATTTTTTTTAATATTAAATAATATTATTTTGATAATTTTAATTTTAAAAAATCAATAAGTTTTTGGCCAAATAGAATTAAATTAAGAAATAATGAACGACTCAGTATTTTTTTTTTCTGAACTCATACTTGTTCAACCCTAAATCAAGCAATTGAGTTTTTATAACCATGTTTAAGATGATTAGAGAGAGAGAGAGAGAGAGGGTACTGAGTTACTTCTTAATATATATAATATTTCTTCTTCTTCTTCTTCTTCTTTTTCTTTTATTACTCTCAAAAAAATTACAAACAAAAAAACATAAAATTAATTGAAAGAAATCAAGTTGATTAATTGAAATAAATTGAATAAAAATCAACTATATCATTTGTTTCACAACCACTCTTATTTTTTCCAGTGGCTCCAAAACAAGAAAAAAAAAATTAAAGTATAGTACAATCTCCATCCTTCTTTTATTTCAACTGTCCTCATCTTCATCGAGAAACCCTACTCGTTTAATTTAACTCCCTAAGATATTCATGAGCTTGAATCTTGTTTTTGGGTCTCATTATTAGTGACTGAAGCTGCAGAAAAGTTTACGATGGCATCAGAAAAAGCAGGTGGTGCATGAGCAGCAATATGGCCAGCAAAATTCATTTCACCCAAAGGGCAATTGCCACTACCAACGCCAGGTATATGAGTGCATGAAGATCCACCAGATGGTGGAACCGGGGCCCTTTGAAGAGATTGAATATTCCCAAGATTTTGCTTTAACCATTGCTCTCCTTCTAATGGCCTAGCTGCCAATATTTGCTGAGAGCGTGGTCCAAAAACAAGGGCAATAAAGATTATCATTGTTAAGCATTGGTTTTTTGTTTGAGAACCCATTTGAAAGAGAAACCTGAGGAATACTGGGATCTTAATTAGGCAACAATACCTGGTATCTGCAAAGAGCTAGCTGGCTAGCAAAATGGATGATGGTGTTGGCGGCCTTGGAGACGAAGAAGGTTAGCTAGGTTGTGGTATATGGAAGATGGGGGAGGAAGATGGGATCTATACTTATATACATGCAAGGACACATGAAATATGTTTTTAAAGCCTGGTTTCTTCATTTTCGTGTGTAGCAAGATGTCATGTGTTGACTTGTTGCCGCGGTTTAAAGTTTGAATGGAGAGAGTCTAAATTATAGACAAAGACCTTGAAAGGCAAACAAGAACTACTTTTATACATGAATTTTAATCTATGTTTAAGGATTCCTATTCCTGGACGTGATGATGGGAGGCAAAATTCTTTGTCTCAACCCACTAATGGAGCCTGCTATTTTTTGGGCAAGATTTTGGAAACTTTCTGGGTGTTGGTCGAATGCTGTTTTGGTTCCAGACTCATGTTTGGACGGTGCAATTAGTTCACATTTTTTAGTGTCAGCCGCAGAAAATGACTACAGTTTGGGAATTGGTATCACAGGTTCAACTTAAATTCATGAATGTTTGTGAACTATGGTGATAGTTATGATGATAGTATTAAAAATTGTTACGATAGTAGTATATTTATGATATTAATAATATTGATGGTAATAATAATGATTATAATTAAGTTTATCATCACAATTTAATTTATATTATATTGTTTTACTTAATTTTGGATGTTAATAATATAATAACTATTATAAATTATTATTTTGTTTTATACATATGATGAGAATTATTTTGCAGTGATTTTTTATTTTATTGATTTCTGAAGAATATAATATCTTGAAAGATAATAAAATATTACAAAATCTTTATATAATTTATTTTATATATATATATATATATATATATATATATATATATATATATGTTATGAGATTTAATGCAAGTGGGATGTCGACTATAAACTTGAGATTTTAATGGTGATATTTATGGTGAGATTGTTATAAAATAATAATTATATAAATAATAAAATTATAGTTTTTTGTGATTGATGATGATGGTAATAATAAATATTATGAAATTAATAGTGTCGAAGAAAGTATTTTCTTGAAATTAAAATATATTTGTCCGAACTGTTCCTATTATTGAAAAATATCATTCATTCACTTGGTTCATTAACTATTATTGAAAATTATTTGATGCATTTCATACTGAGCCGATTGTTATCTCTTTCATACTTGGGGTCAAATCCCACACAACGCATGGGCTAGTTGTCTTCTTCATGAAAGAAAAAAAGAAATATGGCCAATATATAGGTTTTCCTGCTGGGTTCTGATGGTTGACCTTGCCATTCACAGCACAAGTCCCTCCCATCTATTCTGCTTGAAAACGTGGTTGCAATTGGCTTTGAGCCTCCGGCCTCGGTGTCAAAAATTTTCACGAGAGACAAAGGAATTCTACAGGCTACAGTTGCTGGTCAGGGCAACTATGGTGGCTTCATCCCTGAGGCGGTCAAACTTGGTGGTTTCATACCCTAACATGAGCGTCACAACGTTCATTAGCTTGAATCCTTGAACATTAGCAACATGCCCTTTGGTCATCTCTTCTGCTGGCTAATAATGCTCATTCTATTATTATTTTGAAAACCCGTGTACTTGATCCCACCCAATAAATTAATAAATTAAGTTGTCTTTGTTATAAAGTAATTTTTTTTAAAGTGGTTTTTTTAAAATAAATTCATGAAAATTGAATTATTTTTTAATATTTAATAGTGTAATTGAAAATAAAATAAAAAAATACTATTTAGTAATTGGTTATGTCATGGAAAATAAATTTAAAAGTAAATTAGTAATTTTTTCAAGTTTATTAAAATAATAAGAAATAAATCTAACAAATTAAAAAGTTAAATGAGAATGAAATTGAAAAAAATAATCTCATTTCATAGATTATCTCAAATAAAATAAATAATAATCAAAATAATAGATATCAAATCTAACATGTAAAAAAAATTAAAAAATGATGAAACTAAAATAATAATAAATATAATTTCATAAATTATTTCAAATAAAATAAATAATATTAAAAAAATAAGGATTAAATTTAATAAATAAAAATTTAAATTAAAAAATAATAAAGAAAAGTAAATAATAATCATAAAAATAAGGACCAAAATTAATACAAAAATCAAATTTTAAGAGATGAAATTAAAAAAAAAAGATTTAAAATAAAATATATAGTAATCAAAAGTTTAAGAATCAAATTTGTTATAATCAACAAATAATATAATATTTTTAAATTTTTCACAATTTTTAAAAAGTGTTTTTCATTCAAAATAAAACAATAACACTCCTAAAAATTAAGTCAAATTTTTCTTTGACTGAAAAATATTTTTTGTTAATTAATTTTTTTAATAACAAACAAACACAAAAAAATTTTAAAAATAATTTTCAAGAAACCACTTTTTACTAAATAAATAAGGTCTCAAAAAAATAAAAAATAAAAACTTAAGATTTTGATCCTAACCTTGATTAAATTTCTAATTCAACCAAACAAGATATTAATCTAGCAAAACCTCATTGATCTAATATATTTTTAGTAACCCAATTAACTAGATATATTTTTAGTAACCCAATTAACTTAATCAGCTCGATAAAAAAAAAAAAAAAAAGATTTTTTTAGGAAATAAAAAATAATACTGTTCTAATATAAAAAAAAAATCAATCAAGTTTAACTTGCCTAATAACCCTAACACTTTTCCAGTCAGCTATGCCTTATTCAGCTTCCAGGCCTTTTGGTCGTCTGCTTGCTGCTAATAACGTTCATTCCATTATTTGAAAACCTGTCTAATACCATCATCACGTTATTCACTACCCTGCCTGCTAGTCTGCTTCCCCTGCATGTTCCCTTCCATTGAAAATTCATGCCATAGCGGCTTCCATGTATTTTGATTTAATGACTTCAAACAAATTGACTTGCAGCAGTCTTCCAAAGCGGCATGGAATTGGTCCATCAAAACCATTCAGAATTGAACAAAGAATTTCATAGATTTTGACAAAGTCAAGGCTTGACCTTGTTCCAAACAGGAAACCAAATTGTTACTGCCTCAAGTAGTGAACTAGGGTTCTCCATTGCATCCCTAAACACCATTTACAGTGTAGGCTGCGAGGCCTGGATAGGGGAACAGAAGTCTCCTGATGGAACTCAGTTTTGTTTCCACTCCCAGAAAGGAGAGAAACTAAAGGAAACGAAAATAAAGTAACTCAGTTTTGTTTCCACTCCGAGAAAGGAGAGAAACTAAAGGAAACGAAAATAAAGAAAGAAGTGAACTGATACCACAAACAGAAAGAATTAACTTTGATTGACTGATTGAACAGGGAAAAAAACAGGTATCATACAAGTATGGATACAAGGCTCTCTCCCTCCAAAATCACCTACCTCTCTCTCCCCTCTTTGTTTAAAAAATTTCTCTGCTTTTCAGACTTCCAACATGCTACGAAATTATCTTATGATGCCAAATGCATCGCTTAAATCAATACGAGGACAGCAGGTTTTTTTATCTGTCACATTACCTGATCTGCTTGCACATGCAAAATTGTGGTGTGGGGATGAGTTTTGAAGGAATTTCATTGGTAGGTATGGAACTCTCAAAATTTTGGTCCATCACACAGAAAGGACAGAAAACAAGAATTACCAGACAAGTTTTCTACTACTCAAGGATTCAAATAAGTTTCCCAGCCATCGGTTTGTAGTTTTTCTGCCTTCTTCAAGACATCGTCCCTTGTATCTTCTTGATACTGGCTCATTCTGCAAAACAAATAGGATTACAGTTGAGGGAAAACTTCAGTTGTTATCCTGTCACACAAGCATATAAGGAGGAGAGGGAGAGATAGAACCTTGCCAAAAGGTCGGTATCACCAACACCCAACATCCTTACTGCTAGCAAACCTGCATTTGTGGCATTATTAATTGCCACAGTTGCAACAGGGACTCCCCTTGGCATCTGGATAATAATAGATTAAGGAAGCATTTAATGACAGACAAATAAATAAAAAAATGAGCAAATTAAAAGAGAATGAAATAAATGTGAAACACAGGCAACGCAATGTATTTGAGGACATTATTGTTGGACATCAACTTCCTGCATTGAGGGTCAAACTGCAGTTTCTGTGTTGGGTGACAAAAGCATCCTCATAACTTCCTGGTTTAAATGGGAACTTGGGTTTATGTTTAATATTTCTATAAACAAGGTGTTAAGATCTGCGCTTATTCTTTTTACTGCATTATGCTCATAGAGTAACTGAACCTAGGAAACATCAGTGCTAATACCAAACCAAAGAATCTTTGCATTTACAAATCCCACAGAAGTCAAAAGGAACTATAGCTTCCTTTCAAAGGAGAGTCGATTAAAAAAAAAAGCATATAAAGATTGGAAAAGGGTATGTCTACTTTTCCATGTGCCCATTTTAGGAAATAAGCTAGTAATGGAACTTGGAATGCTAAACTGGAGGTCACTGCTCTTTTTGACAATGGACATCCTGAAAATGTTATATTATCTGTGATGAAATAGTGTACCTGTACAATTGATAAGAGTGAATCCATTCCATCCAAAGCAGAAGCACGCACAGGAACACCAATAACAGGCAAGGGGGTCAGCGAAGCTACCATACCTGTAAAGTCAAACCAATGCTTTATTAAGGCCAGTGAGAGTTGACAGGCATAATATTCTATATAAACCATCACATGTCTAACTAGCCTGGCAAGTGAGCTGCACCACCAGCACCAGCAATGATGATTTGGATGCCTTGGTCCTGAGCAGACAGCGCATAAGAAAACATCATTTCAGGAGTTCGATGGGCTGATACTATTCTCACCTGCAAGTTACATATTTGAAAGTCAGGTATAAATGGAACAAAAGAAACCACTGCTGGCGCATTCCAGAAGAAAACTGCATATTTAAAAAGCAACCTCATGAGGCACTCCAAACACAGTCAAAATCCTTGCAGCATCCTTCATTATAGGAAGATCTGAATCAGAGCCCATAATGATCCCAACACGCGGTGTAACTACATTTTAACAAACATCAGGAACCAAAATAAACTTAAACTGAAAGAACAGATACATCTTAAGTTTAACTGTGAGGTCTTGTAATATTTAATAAGAAAAATGTATGAAACTCATTATAATTGAGCTGGACTATATTCATGAGTTTAGATCCTCCAAAATGAACGATAAGATAAGTCTACTACCTCTAGTACCTATCGACTACTATATCCAGTACCTATCTCCAAGAAATTAGCAAAACATAAATCCGAAAATAGAACTTGTGAATGATGGATGGGACATTTAATCTCCATTTTAACTTTAAGACAGATACATACTTCATAATGCAACTCACGGAAATGTGCAGTAAGAGGTCAGGAAAACCATAAAAACTAGAACATTTCATCTAGCCACAAGATCAAGTACAATGATCAAGTCATCCTACAAAAACTTACCAGCAGTCTGACTCTCAGAACCTTCTTCCTTCAGCATTGATTTTAACTGTGCTTCCACTATGCCCATTGAAGGGCCAGCAATAGTGATATGGCCCATCTTCCGTTGCTTTCGCATTTCTGCACAATTACTTTACAGGGGAGAAAAAGAGGGAGTATGAAATCAGGGAAAGTATAGAATTCATGCAAAACTAACCTGGTTTATCATACCAATGGACAGAAGCCCCTTGTATGTTCAATGCTCTTCCAATCAACTGGTGAGCTAAGTGAAAACCAGGCTCACCCTAAAAGTGTAAACATTGTCATTAGTCAATTAATTTTTTATTAGAATATTCTAACAAAACACATAAAATAATAAAAACAATTGACAACATTTTGATGAAGTCTTGTGAAGGAGCTGCCTATTTTTCAGCTAACAAAACGACACGCCCACCCAAACCCCAAAGCCCCTACCCATGCATGAAATTGAGAATCCTTTAACATTTGGAATTGAATCAGAGTTCAATGAGCACCAGAAGTCAGCAAATGTTTAGAAAAAAAGATGATTAAATCAGAAGCACATGTCGCAGACCAACTCCAAATGACTTCTATTGAGAACTCATTATTACCTAGGAACTACGAGCCTACTCTTTCAATTTTCAATACATGAAAGATGTTTGACACCCCTCAGTTTCACAGCTTGGTTGCATGTTATATTCACAATCCCTACCCAAGATCCATAGTTAAATTCAAATTGTGTCCTAACCTTTGTGTTTCCTGAGATTGGCCCACAGTTCTCACAAAATATTGGCATGTGCTTCATGTAAGTTATGTTGTGCAACTGCTTTTGGAATTACCAGAAACACAATAACAGTCCACACACATGAACATTTACTATTTGAGTGCATATGCTTGGTTTTATGTGTGCATATGATAAAAGAATGTTCAAACACTTGCCTTGGAAACCAAAGGACCCAATCAAACTTCTTGCAGAGGTTTCAAAATATTAAACAAATGGAAAAAAAAAATTGGAATTGGAGAAGAAAACAATTCACCTCGTCTTCACCCAGTAGATTGTACATGATAGCAGCAGGAGTCTTCATTGAAGGATCACCAAGTGGAAGACCAAGAACAGCTCTCAAATGCTGTTCGAATTGTGAGGTATAGCAGGACTCAATCGTGTGATGGCCACTATTATGAGGTCTGGGAGCTACTTCATTCAGTAAGATCTGTTTAAAAGGGAAAGCATCGACATATTAGTCAATACAGCGAGTTCCTGAAATCCTGAAACTGAGAATTATGAAATGTATTGTGCAGATAAAATGAAATACACTGAATAATTCAAGAACAACCTGACCATCCTTTGTCAAAAACAACTCCACTGCAAACACACCAGCACCTTCTAAGGAGCTAACAGCTTTATGTGCAACATCAGTGGCAAGTTTTCTGATCTTCCATGGTATATCAGCAGGAGCCTTAACCACGTGACAAATGTTTTCCCTGCAAGACTCAATGTCTGTAATCAGATGTAAAGAGATGCAACTATACTAATTGATAAATATTATCAAGTCAAATTCATCTGGCAAACTCAAACATTGTTGAAACCAAATGCACTGAAAACCAAAATAGCTACAAAAAAAGAACATGGAAATGCCTTATCTATAACATACTTGTGAATAGTTTCAACAACAGGGTAGCACAAAATGGAATTGTCTTTTCCTCTAGCCACAATGACAGCTAGCTCCTTCACAAAGGGTGTCCATTTCTCAACATATAAACCTCGATCAAGTCCTCCAAGAGCTGGAAAACATCATGAATATTATATTACAACAAGGAGTAGATCCAGCAGGAACTATTTATATAAAGAAAAAAAAAAGAACTACAAACTGGGCATGAAAAGCAGCAAGGATGAGGAAATTAAAGTGGACCATTAGAAAGAATTGAAATGGCAGGACTATGTGAGCTTCAAGGAAAAAAATAACAAGAAATGCCCTTGATAATAGAATAATATGAAGCCAGTCACTGTTCAAAATCACCCAAGCATTCTTAACGATTACTTATGACTATGAACACAAGGAGAGGTGAGCAATTGTGATGAGGAAATGTAGGATAAATAATGAAAAGATGAAGCAATTTTATTTCAAGTCAAAAGACAAGGACTTACAAAGAGAGATTTCATTCAAAAACATATGAAGGCTTTGAAGTCAAGTTATTGACAACCTTTCCTGTTAGAGCGAAAAATGCTGAAGGTCTCAGCAAGCTCATTGCTGAAGTTGTTAAGGATAGGAAGGAAGCAACTTCCTGTTGCTTTGGATTAACATATAAGAAAAACTATGAGCCCTAAACACCATCCATATAGCATAATCTAAAACATGGAACAATCACACAGATAAATTTCTGTCCAGGATTGGTAATTTTTCTATTTGATTGGTCCAAACTAGATGAATGGGCTTTCACATTCTTCCCAAGAATTTAATATGACATCAAATATGTTTCCATTGCCTTGGGAGTGGCCTGTTTCATATGGATTTTACAGCCAAAACCCCCTAAACCCAAATTAAAGGTTAATAACATTTTTGGTTGTTGTTCTCTACAAGACAAATAATAATTATACTATAACCGTGTCCATTCCAGACAAAATGAACAAGACGAGATGAAAAGAGTCTAGTATAAAACATATGATGGATCTTCTTTGGTGGATCTTCTTTGGCCATAACATTTGGATCCTTATCATTTTGAATGGCAATTAAGATATGGTGGATACTAAACTGCTGTTGATCAGTAGCACATATGAATACAAGTATCGCATTTCTCAAGCCTAAATAGGATACCAAATTTCCTTAGTAATTGGGCCTCAGTATTGAACATCTCACCATTTACTGCAGAAGAAAGCTCCTCGTCACTCTTAGCAACTGCATTCCCACGCCCATCATAAGCTAGCCTTTTGCTCTTGAGCATTAAAGGATAGCCAAATAAGTCGCCTGCTCTCTTGGCACCTTCTAGATCATCAATCTGTACTAGTCATACTTCAATATCAGTTAACTAGAAGATATTAAGCTAATAACAAGTAATGAAAAATGAAGACTGCATGTGGCTTTCTCCAGGGAAATACTACAAACAGCAGCTAACCTGCATAAAGTCAGGAAGGGGAATCCCATGCTGAGAAAAATGAACCTTCTGGAGATACTTATCCTGAAAAATTGAAACATGGATCCATCTAGAAATCTCATCATGGAGCCAAAATCATGTTTGCTTTGAATTTAAATCCAAAATCCTTGTGAAGTAAGTCTAAATGCCAAAGTTGCATGTGGTTTACAAAATAACGTTACCCATCAACTCTGGAAATCAAAAGAGACATACTTGGATAATTCTAATAGTGGAGGCTTTCGGTTGGCAATCAACTCCTTGCTGCTCAAGCTTCTCCATTGTAGCAACATCAACATGTTCGATCTCCACAGTCAACACTCCACATCTACAACAACATAATTAACAAAATTAACACAAAAGACTCAAAAACTTCAACAACAGCCAAATTCCATCAAAATTGAACCTTTTTGCGAATTCCTGAACTGTTGAACTATCATCAAAGCTTCCAACCATATGATCATATGCAATCGCACTTGCTGGACAATTCGTAAGTGGGTCCAAAACCATGACTTTAATAGCCATTTCTGAAGCTGCTTGGCATAACATACGACCCAATTGCCCACCTCCCAATACACCAACAATCACCTCGGACACTCCATGAACTGGCAAGTCATCTTTCCTACATTCACCACATTAAACAATCTAATCACTGAACTCCAACAAGATACCAACACAAAACAACTATTTCTTTTGATTATTTATTCTCTATTAAAAAGATTTTCATCTGGGCACTCGTGCAATGACAAAAAAAGCAAAAAAAACACAAATTTGAATAAGATATGCACAATTGTATGCACGACTCAATTTTCTCTCTCTTTCTTTTGCAAAAAAATCAATCTGGGTACTGATAAAATGAGACAAAAAAGAAAAAAGACAGAAAATTGGCACACGGGTACTAACCGGAAAGAAGTATCGTGAGTGTCAGTTGATGCTTGACAAGCCAAGACTGGACATTGAAACTGTTTGTGAGACTGTTTTTGCGAAGAGGGCTTGGTGTATTTGTCCATGAAAGATAATCTTGTTGAAAAGGAAGAAGAACAAGGCCTGAAACTGAAATCAGATTTTGAAAACAATAGGAATTTAGGTACTAGGGTTGTCTGTTGCAGCAGCAGCATCTTGTACCAGAGGAGGGCTTTGTGGTTGGGGTTTTTGCCTGGAACTTGTAACTAGGGAAGTAGTGGAGTTTCGAACGTTGGAGTTCTATTTATTTTATTTTTTTGTTAGTCTTTTTTTTTAAAAAAAAAAAAAGAACATAATTTATGTTTGGGTATGGTATAGACTATATTATTCATCGTGTTATACTGTGGTTCGAGAAAAAAAAAATAACATAAAAAATACTTAAATATTATTAATAATTTTTAGTAAAAAAAAATTAGATTATGTAAATATAGATGTAGTGTAATTTAGTTGACTTTGATGATTTAAAAATAAGTTGAATAATCTGAAAAACTATAGTTTTATTAAAAAATCTTAATAATTTTTTTAATATTAAAATAATAAATTCCTAGATTACATCAATTTGAGTTAACATATTAAATTTAAATTATGATAATATAAAAACTTTATAAAATATAAATTAAAATAAAATATAAAATCTAATTTCTAATTAGCTCAATTTTTAAATAGAAAATTAAAAAAATCAATTAAAAAATAATTTAAAAAAAACAATTCAAATTAATCTGTCAAACTTACAACTTGATTCATAAGATCGAAATAATTATATAAAAAAAATATTTAAAAAATTTAATTCTTGATCAGTACAATACTGAAAGATAAAACTAAAAAAATAAAATTAATTAAAAAAAACATAAAAAACAATTTAAGTTAGTATTTTAAACTCATGACTCATATTATGAAACCAAAATAATCTCATATTAAAAAACAAAAACCAAAAACAATATTCAAATTAACTTGCTAAATTCATAATTTTAATTATAAAATTAAGATAATCTCATATAAAATAAATGAAAATAAATTATGAAATTCAATTTTGAATCAATCCTATCAGACCAATATTGGACAATAAAAATTGTAAAAAAATGTATTTAAAAAAATAATATAAAAATTAAATCAAATCAATATAGGTTAACATATTAAACATTATTCTTGAGTTATAAGTCGAGATAAACTCATATAAATTAATTTAAAATAAATTAGAAATATAATTCTTAATCAAACATAATAGTAAATAATGAAATTAAAGGGGAAAGTAAAAAAAAAAATAGGTTAACTATTAACTTATCAAATTTATAATCAAGATTATGAGACTATAATTACTTGGGAAAAAACAAATTCAATGTTTAAAAATATAAAATTAAAATAATCTCTTATAAAAAAACTAAAAAAAAATAACTTGATTTAATTATGATTAAAATATCAAAACATGTAACCCTATAATAAAATCAATAGATCCCTATAGAAAATAACCAAAATAAATATAAAGTTTAATTTTTTACTAGAATAATAAAATTGAAAAAAATCTAAATAAAAATCAAATATAAAATATAATGTTAGTTAACTCGGATTAATCTATCAAGCACTATTTTTAAGTCATGTAATCAAAATAACTCAATAAATAATAAATAATAAAATATAATTTTTAATTAATTAAATATTAAAAAATAAAATTAAAAATAAACAAACAAATAACTTCCAGCTAGAAGGCCGGTCCCATCTCTCATGTGTGAGTGATTGATTCAGCCCAAATTCAGCGGTCCCAGCCCAAGTAGCTCTGGCCCATGATCCAAGCGACCTCCAACCAATTAATCATTCTTTCTTTATTTTTCAACCAATTCTTTTGATTCCGTTTCTGCGGCAGTATAAAATTTCAGTCCCTTACGTTGATGCCTGCAGCTCAAAAGGAGCAAAATCAGATCATTTTTTCAGGCCACACAAAAACATGTGGGGGGAAATTCCCACATGTTTTAGTTTATTGTTAATTAATTAATATTAATTAATGTTTAAGCTAAGATTATAAAAAGTGATGCATTGATTATTATTATTATTATTATTTAAGAAAAATTAAATTTTATTATTAAAAAAATAAAAAATATATTTTTTATATCGAATAAAAATTTAATAAATTTCTCAAACCCAAGATTTAAATATAGAAAATCAAGAAAAATAGCGTTTTCTTTTAACTACCATACTATTCTTTTTTATTTTTTATAACTTTAGTACTTTTAAGTGAGCTTAAAGTGATTTTATTATTTCAAAGTGAATTAATTAATAGGAACACTCAATTGAAGAGGGAATTAATTAATTAGTGGATGTTATAATACTATTAATTCTTAAAAAAATTATTAAATATATGGAAGTTATTTATAAATCTCATATAATAAAAGAAATTGTTTGAAAACTGCCATGCAGCCTCTAAGCTGTACCTAGGACACTAGCCACTAGCCAGTTCCCTTTACATCCTACATCATCTTAAGCAGGAACAGAAATTGATAGGCTTTTGATGGATCTTCAATAGCATTCCAGCATAATCAACATCATAGGATTGCCCTTTCTGCTTTACCAACAACGGATACTGAAAGGTTCAGCATGCTGTATTCAACAGGGATTTCTTTACAAATTGCTTGATCATAATGTTCAGCCATTGTTGATTAAAGAAAGAGTTGTTCGCAGGAAATTCTCCAACACACGCATCAGCCAGCCCTTGGAGGAAGAATCTGAACTGTTGCTTTGATTGTCCTTGAACTGTAGAAGAACTCATTCAAAAAGGACAATGGCTGCACTTGCAGGTTCTTTCCTGACTCGTGAGACCACAAACTTGACAGAGTTGTGGAAGCTCGAGAAATTCAAATGTATGTTTTGCAGAAACCTGTCAAGGAATCGGAAGACGTCTATGCAAGTTTTTAGAAGTTCTGCTATATGTAGCAGAAGTTCTTTTGGAAGATCGGTCCAGGGGACTCCAGCTTCGCCTAGCTCTTCCTTCTTTGTTTCTTCCATGAATAGAAAATGCCTAACTTGACATTTTAATAGCAAATATAAATTGGAAAACCTTTTGTTTTTTATCATGATGCCTTGATTTAGGGTGTTCGACTGGGCGGTGCAACCAAGTTTTGCCAATTTTACAAACAAATCATATGGACATGTTTTTTTTAAAAAAAAACTTCTGTATTATTTGAATGGGCAACAATATCCATACAAAAATCGACTACGGTACTATGCATTCACTAATCACACCCAAAATCACAAAAATCAAGAAGAACAGCCCCTCCACACCCCCCCCCCCCCAAAAAAAAAAAAAAAAAGCTCATGTTTGAAGGGAGCAGTGGACTGGTAATGACACTGCTCTGACATTCAATCAACCTTGTGAGACTGTACACTTGATTGCCAATCTTCATCACCATGTTCGACAATTTTTCTTTACATTCTGGCATATCGATTTGTCTTTTCGCATAACTGAGTACCTGGTAAATGAAAGCACAAAAGCATGAATGAGCTGCCCAATCAGAAGAACTTCGAGGAACTCGGAATCAAATGTCTCTACTGCAAAGGAAGAACTCATTGGAGTACTCACATTTATCGTTTGTTGTATACAAAAGCCTTACGCAGTGATTTGCTCTCTTTGTTGTATCCCGATCTTTCGCAATTCTTTCAGGTGAGAAGCTATCTCCTGAATGAATTGAAGCCCTTCCTCTCCATATCTGATTGAGTTAATGCTGTGCTCAAGGAAATTCTGGTCTGCCTCAAGAGCTTCCACCTTCTGACTTAGATCAGAAACTTCATTTACTAGAGAATTTAGATCAATTTCTTGAGTGGAACCTAAAGATTTCTCTAGTAAGGGTCCTTGAACAGGCTCACTTCTTCTATCGGTCATTGATAATTTACTCTCTTCTGCCCCACCATTCTGTTCAGCTCCCACTTTGCTATTCAGATCCCTCATGTCATTTTCCTTGTCTCCTGAATATTCACTGTTGATCAACTCTAAGCTTAGTCCATTATTAGAAAATAGATGGAGCTTCCTTTTCAACTTCTTCAAACTTTGTGTGATATACGACTTTTCATCTTCAAAATCAAGCAATGAACTATTCACAGCAATGATATTCTTATCAGCAAGTGACGTGTTCGTTCCTTCAACTTGTTTTTCTTCAACGGAGTTTCTACTTGTGCTTGCACCATCTTCTATACATCCAGCTTCAGAGTGATCCGCTCTCGTACCCGTTGCCTTTCTGTCAGAAATTGGTGTCTCAAAGATTGCTTCGTTGGGGAACTTACTCCTATAAAACTCAAGTTCCTCTTCTAGATCTTGGACCTCTTTCTCCTTTTCTGTGAGAAGGTCATTCGTTTTTTGCAAAGCTTCCATATCATACTCAGCTTGCTCCTCCATCATTCTTAGGCTCTGCAGAGCTTCCATGTGGAGTGTTGCCTTCTCTTCCTGTATCCGAGTAATCATGGCCATAGCTTGATTTACAGCAATTGTGGATGCGTTCCTTTCTTCCTCCAGTTCTTTGTACAAAGCACTCAGCAATTTCTTATCATGCTCAACCTGCCGTTTTAACCGATCAATGTCACTTTCACCTTCAATTTCACTGACAATACTTCCATCCAAAGATAGACCAGACTCGTTTCTTTCTAGCGTGATTCGCTTTTGAAGAATTTGCATTCCTATGATACTAGAAGCATCAGAAGTCTTTACTTCGTCACTGTTAATAGATAATTTAGGACTAATAGGTACTCTGGGACTCATAGGGACTCTAGGACTCATATCATTCATTGACTGCTCTCTAGCAGCAGAGAGTTGTGAGAGTAAAAGCTTCAAATCTTCGCTGAGTCTTGAAGAATCCTTTACAGCCCTTTGTTCAGCAAGAAAACCAGACAACTGCCTTCCCCTATTCCCAACAGCTAGCTTATAAGCATCACTGAGATCCAATAAGTTTGCAAATTGCTGACCACTGTCACTAGAACTAGGGTTTATTTCTGAAGCTGTGTCAGTTCTTCTAGCTGGTCGACTTACTCCCTTGCCGAGATCCTCACCGCCTGTCACAGATGTCTGCCAAGCTTCCTCTTCTCTGGATACAGCTGTAGAATGTAACAACAAAGCAACGAAAGGTAACCAAAATATGAATTAGCACCATCCACAATAGTTGAGGCCCTTTGTAGTTCTACAAAATGAAATTATCCAAGTGCAACCTTTGCTAATAACAGAAATACCAATAGATGTCCTGTCGGAGGAGTAGTTTGAACTTACAGCTCTCTTTTAATCCTT